AAAATAATACTGAATGTAGTGAACTTTCTAGGGCAACAATAGAGAAATAGGCTATTTTCGCACTTTGTCTTGGCTAGATAATTAGAATCAAATCAATTGTGGCAAAATCTTGTTATATGTTATCAGCATATGAAAACTTTTTATCAGTCTGCAAAGTTGTCCATAAGAACTGCTGAATTACTTTCCAAAGTGAGATCTTACTACGAATATAATCCTCCTTATGCGGTGCTTAAATATTTTCTAAGATGTTCTATAAATGTATCGAATCATAGCTGTTTCCCTCCATCAAGCATTTCGCAACTGTTTGCTCACAATCGGAATTCCAGCTTATTACCAGAAAAATTTTAGTCCAACTGACTAACCAGCATCAAAACCGTTTATAATCAGAAGTTCGGCAAGAACTTAACTCTTTATTCACAATATTAAAAAAATCGTACAATACTAGCCACAGCCACCTGAGGTCAGTATCTTTTGGATTCATGATATATCCTTCTAATTCATGTTTTGCCCATCCACCAAGTAAATAAAATTAACTGAGTCCACAATTATAACACTCTTTATCGCATTCCATTTCATATCACATTTACAGGGTAAGATTCAAATTGCAATTAAGCTTGGATTTGACACTTTCCATGGGTGAAATGTTATGCATAACTGTTTCTTCATAGTGAGCAAGTGTTTAGTACTGTTAGTTTTTGCCAGTTTAGATTGGTGATTATTTTATTGATCTTATTCAATTTCCTCGAAATCACAATTTATCTTTATATATCCAATGGATGATTGAAGATTTTGAAAACAATCGCATATATGAAATATACATTACCAATTCAACCGCCACATACAATTAAGAAGAGAAAAACGAACAAGCAACGATTACTTTAATTTTTTTGGTTTCCATCTTTCTTTTATTCTTTTTTTACCAATGGGAGTTATTAGATCGGTTGCAGCATCTGTACATGTTACCTGCAAAGGAATTATTAACTACTTTTCAACTCGAACATATATGTCATTGGCTCATACTGGTTTGCTGCTTAAAACTTCCTCTATTGTAAATTACAGTATGATTACAGACATTGTTAAGATGCTAAGTTCTATTTGCTAGCTATACAGATGAGGTTAATAGGCTTATAAGTTGTTAAATAAATGATAAATCCATAAATAAACCGCAGACTACTCTGAATCTTTGTTCCCTATTTCACTCTCCCATTTACAACTTCTTGAACAAATGAAGTTGAGCAATAAAAATCGGAGTTCGGGACTATTTTGTTAAATTGCTGAAAAAGAACTATGAAAGCAAAAAGCGAACATTATGCGAACTGGTGACACCAGTCAATGAAGAGAAAGCAGCTTGACAAAGTTCTTCAGCTTGACCGCTCATAAATCCTACTGCTCCAACTCTTGGCATATTAAGAGCTTCAGAAAGGGTTGAGCTTAGATTACGAATTCCATAAACATTTTGTTTCCCTAAGCTGCAAAACAGATGCACATAGAAAATTATAAAGATGCAGGTAGCATATTTCTTCAGTATGTTTTAATTTCTTTACCTACCTAACATGATACGTGAGTTATTTGCTCACTCGAACTATTGAGAGCACTGAAAAATTATCCAAATTCTTACAAATTCAACACTTTTCAAAGAATTAAATAAGTAAGAAATAGTGTAAAAATTTACATGCAAAAATTTTCGAACCCATGTCAACACATCCTATGCGAAATAGACAACATAATTATGACAAAAAATGGAAAAGGAATGAACTGAATCAAATACTGCTATGCTCTTTACTTTAAACATAACAATCCCAATGTAGTGGCAACTGATGATGGCTTGATTATGTCTGAGTCAAAAAATACTGCTGACAGTCGATTTTGCTGCATATTGCGTAAGACTGATCGCATCCCGACCACCGCAATCGAAGACTACAATCCCAGTGAGTTCAAGTAGCTAGTTGATTAACATGGAGATATGTTTTAAAAGTTGTAGTTAAAATTAATTCTTACTAATCAAAAAAAATTTCGAGTAAATGAAAAATTTATTGACTCCTCTGCACTAAAGTTACTTTTGTTGATTTAAATGTTATGTTATTTGAAGTTTCAACAAAACTTGCAAGGAGAACCACAAGTCCCATACTCCCTTCTGTTGATTATTATTATATCTAGACAGATATTGTTAGATCAGAAAGAATAAAAACCTTTCTTATGATTCCTGAATTATTTTTCAAATTTCCTTCGTTCACATCACAGATCTCTCCATGCTTCTTAGGTTCATGGTTCTTACCATTCAATTGATTCTTTCTTCTAAGCTTTGTGCGTCGTTTGAAACCGTGCTCAATAAGAAAATTTGCCAAAGAAACTAAAAATTCCGCTGACATCTGTCTCTCAGTATGCCAATTGAATTTTAGTTTGCATTTCAAGTAAGGCCGACTTACTTGACCTCTTCTCATAATTAACTGAAAGAAAAAATGATACCGACATTTCTATAGAAATTCCACGGTGGTAAACAATTCTTTAGTAACGGCAAGTTGACGACAAAATATTGACCAACAAATGATGAGAGACAAAACTAACTGAGAAGCCCTATAAATTGACTATTTCCACACTAATGTAATTGACTCAACGGCAAAAAGATCAACCATAAACATTTAAAAAAATACAAACTTTACTATTCATGAAATTTTATTTTAATGGCATGTCTTTAATGAAGAACAAAAACCACACAAGACAAATACAACAAATCATATATTCGTCATTTTCATAATGAATGAATACTTCCTATTTCTTCCATAAAATCCGAGGTAAGCGTAACAATCATGTTTAGTGATTCAATTGATCGAGAACGAATGTTACGTATCAAATATACATTCACAGCAATTGTGGGGCAGTGTCTCGACCGCTGACCATACATATAAAAACAAACTACGCAGCAAATTAAATGAAGAAAACTAAGCATAAATTCTCTAGAATTAATTTTCTAAGGTACTTCATTTGTCGATTACATAAAATGGGTTTAATTATTTGGTGTTTCTTTAAAATCCATCATTGATTCTCGTAAGGCAATCAGTAGCTCTAGAGCCTGTTCAACATTTCCATGAGTTTCTTCAAGAATTTGCCTATTTTGTTCCCTATCTGTAAAGCCGAATTCTACCAACTGCACTACTTCTTTTGCATATAGTGGAGAACTAGAGGCTGGTGCGTCATGAAAAGGAGTAGAGTTTTGAGATACCGCTGAGGAAGAAGCTACCTCTTGATTAGTATTGCCAGTACTCATATTTCGTGTAGCTTGTGCCATTGCCTAAATATACAATTTTTATTTCAAAAAGCGTAGTTAGGTAGCAAAAAAAAAAA